AGGATGGTGACTTTTTTTTAGCTTTAAAAAAAAGAGATCCAGGGCGGAATTGGTGCCTTCTGCAAGATTGAAATCATGGCAGGTCCAGAAACTGATGCTCAATTCCATTTCACTGGTATCAAAAAATATTCCAACTTTTATACTCTCACAGGTAGAATGAATTGTGTACTGGCCACACATGGAGGCACTGCTTTGATGATCTTATACTTCAAGTTAAGGTCTAAAAAAACACCAGCTGAGAAAGCAACATAAACGAATTTTAACCTGCACCTCATCTGTTAAGTTCCCATGCCTGGAGAAGCTAACGTCAACTCATCATGTGATACTCAATTTGTACAATAAATTATGAACCTGGAAAAAAAAAAAAAGAGATCCGAAACAAATATGATAATATAAATATATTAAAATATGGGGGTGGATATATAGGCTTTTTCATTTTCTGTAGGTTTAAACCACTTCATAATAAAAAATGTATTTTAAAAATTGTGTGGTTTAAAAGAAAGATCTGTAGAAATTTGGGCAATTAGAATGAACTATTTATTCTTGTAAGTCCAATTTTCTTACTTTTGAGCCTAGAATATACAAGGCTGATTATTTTCCATCTTTAGCAAGAGGAACAATGGAGAGTTAATGTAGAAGAAAAGACTGTCCTTGATATGATAAGTCAGTGGCACTTTTGGCAAATGGATGGTAATTTCCAGATGGAAGTGAATTATCTGAACATAATTATATTGAATCCTCTAGCTTTAAAAGAGTGTTTCAATCATATACTATCCATGTAAGTCACTCTTTTCTTCCTTATGGGGTGTGAATGTGAGGTTTAAGGGATGGTTAATGGATGCCACATTTTCATTGCTGCTAAAAATATATAATTAGAGTCTGGATTTGGGAATAACAATTTACACATTTAAAGTATTGATTAGCTGTTCAAGACCACACTTGACTTTTTTTTTTACCCCTCATGAAGACTTCCTGTTCTTTCAAAATTACCATTAAGCATTTTCCTAATGTAATTCCAAGGATCTCACTGAGTACTAAGGTACTTTAGCAGGAAGGAAACCTGCAAACATTTTATTAACTTTGGATCATTTGCAATTCTTGGAATTAATAGCAAAGAGCCAGAGGGTTTTTTGTTGTTTTTTTTTTAAATCGTAATGGTAAATAAGCCTGAAACATTTCACTAGTGAGGCAAGAGTCACGAGATATATTGTTAAATATGAGGGGTAAAAATATATCACAGACACAAGTGGTATTACACAGTACACATTTTTCTGAAAAAATAGTCTCCATGCATGAGGATTAGATATATACCCACAATAAGAGGGCATACTGACCTATAATTTTCAATATTACATCCTTGTATTTTTTATTATATGCTATTTTTCAGCTAGTAGAGGAACATGGTCTCATAAAGTTAATATTTATTCTTCCATGTTTATAGAGCTAGTAGTGCATTTCAGGAAATGAGAAACTCTGAAAAGTCAAATAGAACTTGGTGTCTGGTGCACAAAAGAAGACAGAACAGGAAAATCACCATGTTTAAAAAATCTGGCTGAGGAACTCAGTCATAAAGCTTTCAATAATTAAATAATATAAGATAAGGGAAGCCTTTGATGCTATTATTTCTCTCTTCATACACGTAAGCCTTTTTAGATATATATAATAAATCTTCTCATGTAGGAATCCTCATTTTACTAGAAAACAGAGTCCTCTAGTCCAGTCCCTATTTTCAACTCTGTACTTACCATGTACATTTTGTAGAAGGTAAGGCAGATATTAAGTATAATCTATTATAACAACCCAGATACTCCTACTTAGAATTGTATCTGTAAGTCATGAACACTTCTCATTTTGTTAATAAGTAACTTCTGTACTAGGCAATTAAATGATTTCTTATGTTAAAAAATTCATAGTGATTCATAGGATTTTGTTTTTCTATGGAAAGGTACCTATATTATGGTAAATGTCTCAAAAAATCAGAGCCTTTTTAAAAAAATGTTTTAGTGAGAGAGGGAGAGAGCTCTACATATTATGTATTACAATATATTTCTAGGATGTGCTTTTTTTTTAAAGATTTTATTTATTTTAGAGAGAGAGAGCACACACGCATGCGTGAGTGAAGAGGGGGCAGAAAGAGCGGGAGAGAGAGAATCTTAAGCAGACTCCCTGCTGAGTGCGGCACCCAAAGAGGGGCTCGATTTCACTACCCTGAGATCTTGACCTGAGTTGAAATCAAGAGTCAGATGCTTAACCGACTGAGCCACCCAGGCGCCCCAAGAAATCAGAGCCTTAACAGACCATCTGTGGGAGAAATTTGCCAAAGCTCAAATGTTTTTACATTCTTTCAATTTACAACTTTCCTTGAGACCTTGGAAGGATCCAGAAAGATAAAAGTCATCAAGTCATTTCCCCATTCTCTGCTTGAAGCATGAAGTAGGAGCCATCAATAAGCAAGTGAGGGAGAAAGGAGAAATGTTGATGGAGGGTGGGTGAAGCAAGGGATATTGGATTGAAGGGAGGGAGAGTTTCAGCTGTAATCAAGAGCCCTTTAACCTCCCCAAAAACTGATCCTCAAATTTCTGAGGAAGCCCATGATGTGGACCAGGGAGTTGAAACTAGGGTACATGGTGAAAAGCAAGTGAAGAAATATTCCTTTGTTACTTACCTTTTTCAGTCTTCCCTCAGATGTCAGCTTTTCTACCCTTTCTCGGTGACTGAGCTAATACCTTTGCAACATCAACCCCACTATTTCCTCTGGGGTCTAGGTCCTTTCTTCTCTAAATCCTCAGAGCTGTCCTCTCTTTGCTATTTTCCTGCACTGAGTTCTGATATTATCTTTCCCATAGCCATGTTCCCATATCAAACAGCAGTGACGTCCTTTAAACACCAAACCAGAAATTCTAGTTCTCCAAAAGAGCATTCATATATGCATGTTACTGTTTCTGGACAGTTGAGAAGTAAATGTAAGCCCAGAATAGAAGTATGATGGAGTGGGAAGAGAACAGTACCCAGCATTAAAAACTGGGGTTTAGGCCCAGCCCCACCCTTAACTCAACTCTGCCGGTTTCAGCATCCTCAATTCAAAGTGAGGAGTTTGTAGTCTGGGCAGTCCTCATCCTCTGCAGGCAGATGTGAAGGAGGTCTGAATCTGGTTATCTCTCACAATGACTGACTGGGGGCTGAGGGAGCTAACTAGTCTTTGGGTCCTGGAAACCAGGGCTATTGACCGTTCTAAATCTCATGGGACAATCTTGCATCATCAAAAACTGCCCCTTCCGAAATATCAATAAAGGTCCCACTGAAAAACACTGATAGGTGATTTTTAATGCTCCTTCAATCAGTCTGGACTCCAAAACTTAAGTGGACCAATATAGAGATCTTTAGAGACTCAGAAAAGAACTTCATTTTGTTCAATTTTTGGATTATATAATTTCACAGAGAAAGTTCAACAAAATGGGTTCATTTCTCCTGAAGAGAAAAAGGATGACTTGAGAACTGAGTCTATGATGAGACAGGGGGGCTCTGACCAGTAAATTCTCTCTCTCCCTGGGAGAAGGATGCATTGTCATGCTAGGAGGTCAGGAATTACTTTGGCTTTCTTGACAACAAGGTTTCTAACAAAGGAGAACCTATATTAGGTTTCAAAAGGAAAGTGGATACCTAGGTATGAAGGTTGGAAGACAATTAGATTCTCATTTGTTTCAGACAGTTCAAGTGGGATCTTGCTTACAGAAGAGGGAAGAACATTTAGGTAACTTCTGAAGTCCTTTCTAGCACTTCTGTTTCTATGGATACACTTATTAGGTTTCTACACACTACGATTTGCTACCAAATTGACAGACTGGAGAATTGAAGGTGGAGGCACAGCTTGTCATCCACCCTCCCACTCCCCAAGTATGTCCTGCGCCTCACCCTTCAAAGTGAGTCAATCAGGCTGCCCGACAACAAAGGGTGCAGTAGGAAACTGGAATCTAGCCCAGCACTGCGGTGAAATCTACTTTGATTTCTCAGTAGAAATAAAAGAAATAAAAAGAAAACCCACAGAAAAGGGCCATTAGGGGAGAAAACATTTGTCACTGTGGACAGAATCAAAGTCCAACCAAATGAAATAAACGCCTGTGGAAAAAGACATGTCAGTCTAGGGAAAGTACGATGTTCCTTCTCCCTTGCTCTTCATTTAGTTTTTGTCCACTCAGTGGACTAAGCTTTACCCTCTCCCTTGTTTATTTCCCATCTATGAAAGATGCATAGGTTGAATTCAGCCTTTGGGTAGGTGTTTGTCAGAAAGTACTTTCAAAATAAAAGTGTTTTACGTGGTACTACCTCAACAGCAAAATATGTACTTCCAAAAAGATGCTTGTTTTGCTAGCAAGCTTTTCTTATTGAGTAAGCAACAATATTGTTAGCAATTTTTCAAGCTGTTAATATATATATGTATTAAAAAGCAACAACAACAACCCTGTTCTATCATTAGAAATCACAGGGTGAGTACCCCTTGGTAGAACTAAATGAAAACATTCTGGCCACTGAGGCTTTCTAATTTAAAAGCTGTCATAATAATAACACTAGTTGATACTGACAAATGCAATTTTGATTTTTCAATGTTTCAAAATATAATTTATCCACAAGGTCTGTAACTAATTGATAGTACTTCACAAAGTCTGATATATATTATAGATACTCAATATAAATTTATTGAATCTATTCAGTTAGAATTTATGAACGAAAAGACAAAATTTGTTTTAAGCCAATGTGGGGAATATTGTATTTCTAATATCCTTGTAACATCCTACAGAGCATACAATAATAAGTATGAGAAGTAGCATATCAAATTTCTTTTCATTTGTATCTATTTCCCAATGAAATCAAAGGATTATAATCTGTGCATAATCTATCCCAGAGTTCTTATTACAGTAGAGTATGACTATGATCCATTTTTAAAATATCCCTCAAAATTAATAATATCTTCACTAAGAGAAATAAAAAATATTAACACAAACCTTAAGACCTCCAGCAGATCAGAAGACAAATATGTTCTCTGGGGACCTGGTTGAGACCATGTATTCACAAAAGTCTTTTAAATGGAAGCTGCTCACAAACGGCGTCCCATGGAAGACAGTGTGGCTCTGACATGCCAGATGCTTCTGGAAAGAAAGAAAAACACGCTATTAGGAAGTATCCAAGTACCATTACTGCCAGTCTCAGCCATCATGGTCTGTACAGCACCTATTGCCATTATTAATATAACGGTATTCATTTCTGTTATCTTATACCCCTAAAATCGTATTCATAAATGGCAGGGTAGGACAGTAATCGCTCAGTCCTGTATCTAAAAACCTTTAAAGATGAGGAGTATTGAAGAACCGTGCATGGGGGATGAGCACAGAGACAGCAACACTGGTATTTATGGAGTGCCTACCAGCACAGCAAGGGGTTGTGTATACATGGGCTCTTAATTTGAACCACGGGCCTGCCATGGGAGAGTACTGGCTCCATTTCACAGATGAGAGAAGTAAAGTGTAGACTCCTGAGGTCCGGCTTAGAATCTGGGTCTAGCAAAGCCCAAAGGCTTTAGGGCTGGCTCTTTCCCTCATTTCACTCTGTGGCCTATGTGATTTAGAAAACTATTTCACAAACAGAATTGACAGGAGAACAGACAATGCTGCAATTTATTAAATTAATTCAAACATCATTAATTTCAGACATTTTCTTTCCTATTTTGCTTTAGTTTTATGTATAATCCGGTCTTAATTCAGTCACAGAAATACAAACCCTCAGTTCTAAGCAGGGCAGTTTGTCGCCCATCTTTGTTCTTTAGGCAAAGAGAGAAAACTCACTGGAGACTCTGTAGGCCCCTTGCTAAGACCGCCATGCCAGTCTGTGTGCTGTTTCCATCAAGGATAGCAGCGCCATCCTCTTCCTCTGCTGCCCCTGCCTAACCCACTGTTCCTTCCCTGTGACAGTGAAAGGGACTCCTGCCTTTTCCTGAGGGTGTGCCTGCTACAGTTGGGGCTAGAAGCCACACCTTCTGTGGATCTCTGAGTGCTAGTACTGTATCTCCTCGTGGCCACGTTCGTCTGAAGGTGACTGGGCAAGCCTCGGCAGGGCACCATCTAGATTTCCATTCTCCTTGTTCATCAAATAGCTGTATGCTTCCGGTTGCCCCAGTGCCAACACAGAGAGCCCCTCAGCCTACCCTTCACCGGCTGTCCCAGCACCTCCTCTCACAGTGTGATTCAGGGTCACTGCACACCAATTAACCACTTCAAAATCTCCCTTGAAGTTCCAGCTTTTAATGCCACTGACTTCTGAGTACTGGGGACTTTTAGTTCATATCCACACTGCATTTGGGAAGCTCCTGAGAAAAGCTGGAGAATGATGGAGCAGGAAGGTCACACATAACTGTAAAAAATTTTTTATTTTATTTTATTTTATTTTTGGGAACAAAAGCTTAAGTCATGAATAAAGAAACAGGGGAAAACGAGAGATAGCACTTTCAGAGTTCTGTAGGACTGGAGTCTGGGATTATCACATGGGGTGAAAAAGAAAAAAAGAACAGAGCCAAACAGAGCCAGTTTATCTTTGGATAAAAGAAGGAGGAAGAGCTTGACACAGAACTGGGAAAAGAAGTATTTGGACCATAGGATCTAACCTAAATGACAGGGATAAAAATAAACAGAAACTCTTCTTAACGCCTTGTATACGAGCATTCTGTTTTCTTCATATCACTCAAAAGCAAAGTTTCAGGTGATATGCCTAAACCTGTAGACCCTGCTTCCCATAAAATCCAAATGGCAGTTTTCAAGTATTCACTTGGCTCATTTGTTGACTGCTCATTTATTTATGAGTAAATCAGTAAGTCATAAAACTCCAGGAATATGGAAATAAACAAGGTAGTCCTCCCCTCAAGCCTCTTAACTTTCTTGCAGGGGTATGTGAGTAGGATGTCAAAAGTTATAAGAAGGGCATACTGATAAGTGTTTGAAATAATGGGGTCTGGACCAGACTGCCTAAGAGTGCTCTTGTTTCATCACTCACTGGCAATATGACCTGGGCCAATTGACTCTTTACCCTCAGCTTTCTCCTCTGCAAAATGCAGAAATGGTGTACTTCCCCTGCAGGTTTTTGTGATCACGAAGTAAGATAACCTAGAGAAAGTGTTTGGCACAATGAGTGGCACGTAGTAAGAACCCATCAAATGTTAGGGAGAAGTAATATGATTGTTGCGTAACAGACCATGATGATGTCAGGAAGGCAAAAAGAGCTTCCAAGCTTTAGTGAGTTGGAATCCTCTCTAGAGGTAGGGGATGAAGGGAATCAAGAAGGCTGCCATGGGAAAGGTAGCATTCAAGATCAACCATAACTAGACATGCATAAATGATTAGGCTTTTACAGAAATCCTCTGAAGATAATTGAAAAACTAGAAAATGAGCTACTTTAGGAAAAAAAAAAAAGGTCCATGAAATTAGACATTATTTCCCAGGATTTGGTGTGAAAGTAGATATATACCCTAACAACACAGTCAGGGAATCATACAAAGAAAATCTATGGTTTGCTACTGAGAAAGATACAGTATCTCACTGAATCCTGTTTTATTCAACTATAATCCAAAATGACACCATGGCTTTTAATGGAACTTGGCAAGCTCTAGACACACCACTTTTAAACTTAGCTTCAAATTTAAATCACAGGGCTTGTGACTCAAATCTCCAGTGTGACCTTTACAGGGTATTGTTCAAGAAAACATGTCTGTCACTGTGCAGAGAAACTATACATCCTTTTATTCCGGGAAGTATAATGAAAAGATGTACTATATTGTTATAAGCACAGAGTCACAGAAGGACTGTGACTTTGATTCTCTAGAAGCAATGAAAACAAAGACTGTGTTTGATTTTGCATCATTCATTTAGAAATGTTGTCTTCTTCTATTAATGAACATTCCTATTCTCCCCCATTCTGGACTTTATTTAATTCAAAAGAAGCTTAGCAGGAATCCCATCATTTATAGATTTAAAATGTAGTCCCTCTGAAGTCTCTTTTCAAGGGCTTACTGAGCCACGCTACTTTGTCCTTGCCAGACACAGACAATATTGTACTGAACAGAAGAGCTAGAAGCACACAGTGGCTTGGATTCTCCCCATCCCCACCTGCTTCCCGGCCCAGGGAGGTCTGCATTAGGAGAATGAATCTGCAAAGCTCCTGGTAGCATCGTTCCCTTCTTCATCCCTTCCACTGGATAGGAAATCTTACCAATGCTTCTTCCCATTCATCCAATTCATGATATTATACTGTATGTACTCCCCTAAGCTTCTAGCTGGTTTTCCCTCTTGTAGCTCATCCTGAAAACAGTCCAAAGATCAGTCATCCTCTCTGACTGGTCTAGGGTGGTGACAAATATTTGGAAGAAAAATTAATGAATGACTACATAAATGAAAAATGAAATGCAATCCTAATTATGTATATCCACTACTGAAGAGCCTACAATGGCACCCTATTGTCTAAAGGATCGGATCTAAGTTCCTCATTAAGAACACTGTTCCCACCATCCTTTCTAACTTTAAAAACAGATTCTTTATGACCTAAACCCTGGAGTCAAATAGGAATGGTTTGTTCATTATATTACAGTGAATCTCAACTAGGGGTATATGACAATCACCCAAATCTTCTGAATTGGACACAGTGGAGGAAATTTTAAATTTTTAAATTTTAAAAAATGCTATGCAGGTGATTCAGACATACATCACTTGTTAGAACCACTGCTGTGCCTTCTCTTCTGTGTGTCAACCCGCCTTTCACAGAGTCCTAGAAGCCTCACCTTCCTAGGCCACAACAATATTTCATCCCTCTTCTAGTTTCTCACTGTAGAGTTAAAATATTTTAAGCTAGAAAGGATCTTCCATTGATTCTCTTGCTTAACTAGACACCAGTATCACACCCTTGTATAATCCCCTTCTCTTCCCCACCTTGGGTGTGAGCTAGATTTAGTGACTTCTAATGAACACAGTATGGCAAAAGTGATGGGAAGTGACATCTCTCTTGCCCTCTGACTCTGATGATAGCCACTGCCTCATTGTGAGCTGCCCAATGGAGAGGCCCATCTGGCAAGGAACTGAGGGAAGTTTCCAGCCTGAGGCTCTCAGTCCAACACGGAAGGAACTGAATCCTGCCAACCACTGAGTAAGCTTGGAAATGAACCCTCCCCCAGTTGAGTAGGGTTTCTGTACATCCTGCCCCAGTCGTGATGACTGTGTGTCTGGCCCAATACCGTGACTGAAGACTTGTAAGAAACCCCGAGCTGGAGGACTCCCCTAAGCCATGCCCAGGTTCCTAATTGTGATGGTTCATATTGTATGTCAACATGGGTAGGCCACAGTATCCAGATATTTAGTCAAATATCAATCTGGATGTTGCTATGAAGGTATTTTTTAGATGAAATTAACATATAAGTCAGTAGATGTTGAATAAGGCAGATTACCCTCCATAATATGAAGATTACTCTTCAATCAGCTGAAGACCTTAGAAGAAAACAGACTGAGGTATCCCAAGAAAGTGGGAATTTTGCCAGCGGACTACCTTTGGCTCCAGCTGAAATATAACTCTTTCCTGGATCTCCAGCCTGCTGGCCTGCTCTGCAGATTTTGGACCTGCCAGCCTCCATAATAGCATGAGCTAACTCCTTAGAATAAATCTCTCTCTCTCTTTCTCGATAAATAGAACTATAGATGTATATGTGCACAGGTATGTGTATATATGTATACATACAAGCATATACATCGCACGCACACGCACGCGCACACACACACAATCAGTTCTGTTTCTCTGGGGAAGCTGCTAAGTTTCAGGATAATCTGTAGAACAACAATACATAAGTAATATGAGACTCCTCCCCCCCTTCTCTAGTACTTATCACACTGAGTTATAATTACTTTTTAAATTCCTCTATAATCAGAGCCATCAACCTCTATCAAGGAGGGGACCATGTCTATCATGTTTACAACCAAATTTATAGCTCCCAGTACAATGCCTGATAGATGGCAGGTATTTGATACATATTTGTTAAGTAAACTAATGAGTAAGGGAAAAAGCTTCAGCAGCAGTGTCTTCAGGTAACCCCCTGCTGCCAAAACAAACAAACAAAAAACAA